ACTAACACGTCTCATGGTTATTCTGATTAGAAAATTCATGCTCATTGAAAAATCGGAATTGTGTAATACACCACTCCGCAGAGAGGTGAGCAGTTTGGTGTACGGACGTTTCTTCAGATTTTTTCTGAGCAGAGACTCACATGCTTTTTAAACAAAAATGAGATCAGCCCTGGATACTGGGGAGGGACGTGCTCTCTGCCCCTGTCATTTAGCAATGACGACAGACGTCCAGTCGCTGCGCAGGTTTCTTTTCGCTTGCTGCCTTGTCACCACAGCTCCTGTGAACAGAGCTTGAGGTTGCCTCTGTTTCTCATCACGTATCTGCCACGTCTCTCACTGAGGATCTGAGTGGGTACAATAAATCCCGGGAGCGAAACCCCGGGTCAGAGGACTCGCACAGTTAGCATTTCAATCAACAGTGGCGTTTACCTGTCAGAAAGTTGTGCCCATCGATGGTCCCACCTGCTGTAAATGGGAGTCTTCGGATGAACTCTGTGGGAGTCAACGTTGGGTTCCTTTTCATTTGTTTGGAGATGTTGTCCCATGCTGTGCGGGTCAGGATCAGGCCGGGGTGAGGGGGTGGCGCCAGAGGAGCAGGTGGGACGGGCAGCGCCGGGCACAGACAGGCCTTGGCAGAGAGACCTCGAGGCACGGCACTGCTCTTCCTGCCTTGGGTCCCTCACACTGGTTTACTGAAATATCATGAAGTCTTGTATTTATCAAGAAATTTTGAGAAATGAACTTTCTCAGTTTCCAAACGCTCAATTGTCTAAAACAGTCCCACATGGCTCTTTCATCATGAACTTTTCTATTTTCACTTTCAGAAAATTCTAGGCAGGTAATTTCATCTCTTCATGACTGGTACACTGAGCGAAATTTAAATTAAAAAATATTTTTCTCAAATGAGAGTGTCTGCGAACAACACGGCTCCGAGGCAATGACTCCAATAAGGCGCGTGCTGCATGGAGCCGCCGCGGGTGCGTTTGCAGGTCCCCTCTGTCGCGAGTGCTCCCTCGGCTGTGGCTGTCTGTCCCCTTTCGCGACGATGAGCACAGACACTCACATGAGCACGTGTAGCGACAGGTAGACTGCTGTTCACTGTTGACAAAGAAGCCATCCCTAACCACTGCTGGAAGTCCAGGCTTACAATACCTTTACAGGTAAAATCAGAAGGAGAAGAAATTTTTGAAATAATTGGTTTGTTTAAAAAAAGAAACACTGATGCAAGGAAAAGTATTTTTTTTTTCCAAAATTGTCTAGATTAATTTTCCATAGTAATCAAATTTGTGGTTCAGTTTTCTATCTTCATTTTATGGGTATGATTTTTGTCATTGATTCCTGGCTAGTCTTGGCGGCTTTAGAATTTTATGTTGGAGGAGACCTAATTGAAAAGCATTTGTATTCAAAACTTGATCCCGCTGGGGTAGCGTGTGCGCGCGCACGCATGTGTGTGTGTGTGTGTGCGTGTACATATAGTGTGTATATATATATATTTGTATATGTGTATATGTTTCTATTCTCTCTGTATATTTGCATAGTGTGTATGTGCAATTTAGGGGGTAGTATGTATACGTATATTTGTATATTTGGGGTGCAGGTCTTGTGTTTCATTAGCAAATAACATAGAGGATTTGGGGGCCTGTGGAGCATGGTGGGGGGAGGCAAGGCCTTTAACTCCCTCCAGCCCTGCGCCGTGTATCTGCTACAGTTTCTTCCTCCTTTCCAGGCCTTTATCCTCCTGAACGCAGGCTGGCATCCGAGACCACCTGGGACCACCCCAAGAAAGACCTGGAGAGCTGATTTCAATATTTTCTCTCCTCCTGGTAAAATATTTATTGAAACTGTGCAGAGCGAGAAGTCTTCCTCTGGTTCAGAAATTGTTTGCCTGTAAACACACTGACCTGGGTTGGGGGAGCCAAGTGAGACCGGAGGAAATAAATAAACCGCGGGCTCCTATTATGCAAGAGCCGGGGCTTCAAGGGAGACAGCAGGGGCTGGACGGCAGCACCCCTGGTGCACAGCACGGAAACCACCGCTCCAAAGGATGTAAAAAATGATGGCTGGAAAACGTGCCGGCTCTTTGGGCTGAGGACATGTTTTTATTGATTAATGTTTTCATGGCAATATTCTTTGGGAGGAAAAAAATCTATCCCTGCAAAGATGGACGAACTGAAAAGTGCTAAGAGCAGAGAGCAGGAGAGAGAAGTGATGCTGACCCTTCCTACCCACCCCCCAATAAAATGCGGAAGCTGGGCAGGGCAGGGAAAGGCTCCGGAAGCAGGCAGCTCCTGGGCACTCACCGTTGACGAGGCCGTATTTCTGGGCCAGGAGGGCTGCCTGCAGACTTTTCCCACTGCCCGTGGGCCCACACAGCAGCACCCTTGGGGTGAACGGGGCGTTGGATCGATGGTGGGTTTGGACATAGGTCAGAGCTGGAAAGACAGGAGATGAGGACAATAAAGCCAGGTCCCAACGAAAGGGAAGCAAGCTTACAGCACCTCTGCTTTGGCTCTTTGAATGGCAGCGATTATTTCTCTCTTTTACAGCACCGCGGAATCCCTCTGTGCATCTGCCCGGCAGGCAAGGGCAAGGCGCCGGGGCGGGGGAGGAATGACGTGGCACGCCTGGGTACCAAGGCGGAGAGGGGGCAGTGAAAGCCACAGAAACCCTCCTCTGAGCACTGGAATTCCTCTAAAACCTGGTGCAGGTGTCTGTCTGCACGCCCCTCCAGATGGAACGGGGGCGGGTGTGCTGCAAGGGGAGGCTGGTCCTGGGACATGACAGTGCACACAATAGGGTGAGGGGTTTCCACACTGGACCCAGGCTGAGCCTCACCTCAAGCCCTGGGACTAGGCCGGTCTCCTAGGGGAGGTGCACACTGGCTTTCCGCCGGGTGCACCTGAGTGTCAGACACAGGCTTTGATAAATGCATCGGGCCACGCGGGGGCCTAGCACGCTGGGACTTCTAAAGGACTCGGGAATTGGTGGAGAATAATTTGTGCAGCCGTACTCCCGTGACATCAGCTTTGCTGCAAGTCTCCAAAGAGGCAGTGATCAAATAGGTCATAGGGTGGGCAGACGTAGCCGCACGGCCCTGGCCTGCGGTGTGCCCCTGGCGTTTGATGAACAAAGAAGTGGAGACGGTGAGCGTCCCCAACAATGAGGTGGCCTGCTCTGTGGGGGCGCTGGATGCCAAGAAGCCACAGAGAAAAGCTACTGAACATCAAACCGGGTCACCTCCTGCCGAGCTCAGAAGAGGGGAGCTGTGGGAACAGGATGATGAAGAGCAGCATTTCGGGCACCCGAGCTAGGGGAGCCGCCTGCACACGAGGCACCCGCCTGCACAGCCCCCGAGCCAGCCTGCAAACAGGCCCTCCTTCCCCAGGCCTCGCCTCCTGCCAAGGTCCAAGGTCAGCCCTAGGTGGCCCCGTTACACCTTCCTGCCCATCTGCCTTTGCCAGTGTGCCTTCCAGCCGATTCTGTGCTGGGCAAGGGCCGAGCCAACACGCCCCCTCCAGGAACACGCCACCAAGAACCGCCTACAGATGTGGCAGGATCCCCAACCTCAGCACTGCTAACACGTGGGGCCAGGCGATTCCTTGTTGGGGGGCTGTCCTGTGTGTTGCAGGATGTTGAGAAGCATCGCTGGCCTGTGCCCACTAGGCGCCAGCAGCACTACCCTAAGTCGAGAGAACCAAAAAATGTTTTCAGACATCGCCACATGTCCCTGGGGGTGAGGGGTGGGGGCAAAACTGCTCCCAGTTGAGAACTACTGGGATGTGTTCATTGTGCAAATTTTGAACTCTCGAATCTTTGTAAGATTTTTTAATTGGAAGGATCATTAGAGATACTGCAGTCCCCTCTTTTTAGAAGTAAAGGCTCAGGTCAGCTAGAACTGAGTGGCTGCAAGGCTGGGATAAGCATCGTCATCTCCATCAACAGCATGTATTCATTGCTGAGATCAACACTCTGCGGCATAACCTCATTTGTGTGACCCAACGGTCCCCCGAGGGATGTGTCATTCTTGTCCCATCTTACAGATGAGTCAATTAGCCTCCGAGACTTGGCAGAGTTGGGGCAACCCTCCCAACCTACGGCCCTGGGTAACACGCCCCCCTGAGAGGAGCCCAGAGGAAGGGCTCTCTTCATCCTCAGACCCTCTGGCATCCAGCGCGTCGGAAAAGCACAAATGCTACAGGCAAAGCAGGCTGCTTACAAATGATGCTTAATTTACAGTAAATAACTAAGTTAATTAGAAGTAATGATCCCCCAGACAGTCTCAACATCTAATTATTCTTTTTAAAAATATGTGGTTGCCGGATGCACTGCAGAGAGATTAAAAAACAACACGGAGAGAATTTTGCATTCCAATTTTCAATTTCTCTCTCTGCATTATTAATTAATAATAATTAATATTCAGACACTCACATTTTTATTTACAATTCCAGGCATGAATTCTTTATGAACGATCATATGAACTTTTAAATTTAATTAAGTAATTTGGAAGTAATTAATGTGTAAATGTAGAATATGCCATAAGATAAATGCCGTGGTTGTTTATCTTAGGAGTGCAGCGTTTGCTACTAAAGACCCTTCCGAGATGCAAAACCACTGGAAAATTAGAAGCCATCGGAAGCCTGGCATTTTTTAAAGTAGCATCATTTGCTACACATCCACCTGTGGTGGGCGGCCCCCGTCAGAGGGCGAGGCTGCGCCGCAGACGCACCTGGGCAGAGCCACGGCTCCCGGCTCTCGGGGATGCCCAGAGCATCTCCTGTTCGTGCAACAAGCCCACTGGCAGGAGGGCGCCAGGAGACCGCAGGGAAGGGTTTGAGGGAGTTCAGAACCACCCCCACATCAAAACAAAACTTTTCTCGAAGAGATTTCAGAGAATATGTGAAAAAAGGACTTTATAAACTGTCAAGTGTCTTAACTATCTGGAATGTTATTTTTATTGTAAGTGCTGCATTGACCTGCCATCGCACGGACGGGGATAGCTGGGCTTTGAGGTGACTGAGGCTCAGCAAGACGTTGAAAAATGATAATACAGCTACTTTGGGATAGAATTATTCTAACCTCCCCTCGCCTTTCTGGATGGGATGTTGAATAATGATGACAGCAATAAAGTCTGGCACCCAGTGAGCCGTGTCTCTGCGCCAGCTACGGTGCTCGTGGCTGTGGGTACCTGACTTGGAGAATCGCGTTTAATCCTCACCTACACCTGGGACAGAGGCACGAGCTTTGTTTCCATTTCAGAGACGACTAAGTGGAGGCTCAGAGGGGTTACGAGCCTGGCTGAAGACTGCACAGCTGGCCTGTGCTGGGTCTGAGATGTGAACGCAGATCAGTCCTGTGCCACCTCACACAGGCTGCTTGGGCCGGTTCCTGCGAAGTTGCGTGAACACCGTTATTGCCGTGGACGGCGACACAGTGCCGCTGTTCAGCTGCTCGTCTCTGCTTTAAGAGGACACGCAACACCTGAGTTGTATTGCGGTTTTGTTGCTTTTTGTGGGTGGTGGCTTTTGTTTTTGTCTTAACTTTTTTATATATTTTTTCTTTCTTCTCCCTCAAGGTCAGGCCCAAACTTCTTGCTACCATGTCCCTCCTGCCCCGTCCCTCGCCTCTCCTTCCCCACCCCATCTCGGTCAGATCTGCCGTGGGCCAGAGACGGGACCACGCCTGCGTGCAGGACACTAGCCCAGGGTCCCCGAGGGGGGCGCTCCCCGGCAGGCCCCGCACATGGCGTTGCTGGGCGGGAACCTGGGTCTCTATGACCTGACACCTGCGGTCCCAGGCACATCCCGGACACTGGCTGCTCCCAGCATGAGTGACGCTGGGCCAAGAAGGCAGAAGTTCATGGCGACCCCGGCCCTGGACCAGGCCCAGCGTGGGGCTGCCCGTTTGTGTTTACCCTGGTAGAAGACGTCCACGCACGGCTGGTCAGCACTGATGACTTTCAGGATTTTGGGGTAAGAAGGGATGATCCCGACGATGTTCCTGTGGTACTCCAGCAGCTTCCGGGCCGTCTCCATCTCCGAGATGCCCCCCGGCACCACCAGGCGGTTCTGGGTGTCAGATTCAGGGGGCCAGTCAAAGGTGGTGTGATAAATCTCTGCAAGGACAGAGACGCGGTTAGAATCACCCACTCGAGGGCCACTGTGGATGGGGCTGCATCTGGCTGGGATGCTTGCTGGCCTTGGGGCCAGGGGTGTGTCCGACTGCGACAGGACCCAGTCACTCAACACCAGCACTTCCCGATGCATCTTTGGCTCTGGGCCTGCCCTTACCACTGTTATTGTTACCAGTGATGGTAACAAAACAACGGAAATGACACCCGGTACAGGACAAGGGCGGCCATGAATTTCTGAGCTCTGACTCTGTGCTGGGCACTCTGATACTACCTCCAGACTTCCACTTCATCCTCACAGCAATCTGATCACAAAGGCGGTTCTGGAATTTTCAGCCCCAGGTGCAGATGAGGAAACTGAATCTCAGAGAATATTCCACGTCTACAGCTGAAAAGGGGCAGAGCCAGGGATCCACACACCCAGGTCCATCTGCCGCCAGGGCTTGAGCACTGGAGGTCAAGGGCACACCCGCCTCCTCCCCAGCCCCCCTCAGAACTATCTGGTCATTTGTTTTGTTTTTTTTTTTATTTTGAGACAGGGTCTAACTCTGTTGCCCAGGCTGCAGTGTAGTGGCCCGATCATAGCTCACTACAACCTCCAACTCCTGGGCTCAGCTAGCACTACAGATGTGCACCACCCTGCCCGGCTAATAGAGATGGGCATCTCGATATGTTGCCCAGGCTGCTCTTGAACTCCTGGCTTCAAGCGATCCTCTGGCCTCAGCCTCCCAAAATGCTGGGATTAGAGGTATAAGCTACCGTGCCCAGCCCTGTCTGGTCTTTAAGACCCAGCTCCAGGGTTCTGTCTGCTCTAGCACTTGCCAGTTCTCCCAGATGACACTCATGCCTTGGTCTTCTGTGTGTACACCCAAGAACACAGGGGGCACACAGTTTGTCCCGGGGAGACACAGACACCTCACCTGGGTCCCGTGTGAGCACAGCAGAGAGTGGGCTCCAAGACTGGGTGCCCAGTGTCACAATCCACACCGTACCCTGGTTCTGCCACAAACAGGGCTGCCCTGGTAACCTAAACGGGCCTCTTTTTCCTCAGCTGCTGAAATTTATGGTCTCCCACGTGGCCTCCGGCTCAGAGCCTGGCCTGTGGCACCCGTGCCTCTGCTTGCCCATGTGGCTCTCGTGCGCCCCTCTGCGGGTGCCCAGAGCAGAGCACAGCCCAGGAGAAAGCAGGGGGCCGTTATCACAATTGTCCCTGAAACCCCGCAGGGTGGGTGGGGCTGCAGGGGCCGTACCTCCCGTCTGAGGGTCGACTCTCTTCCCCAGGTTTCTCTCGATCAGGACCGTGTCCAGGGCGCTCAGCACGACTGCGCGGAGAAGCAAAGGAGTGAGACAGGCACGCTGGCAGCGGGCGCCGCGCATCTGAATCTTACGGACCAGTAACTTGTTTCGTGGGGTTTTTTTGCTGTATAGTGACATTAAAACAACAACCATCGCCCATCCCCATAAGTTCCTAAAAGAAAGGTCTCGTCAGCACCCAGACACAGGACAGAGGACAGCCCACGACCGAGCATTCCCACGCTGACCACTTCCACTGCCACAGATGACACCGCGGCGAACGTCTTTGTCATGCGTCTCTTTCCACATTCGCGATTACTTCCCCAAGACAGTTCCTGAGATAGGGATTCCTGGGACCAGGAATCGCCGAGCTGGGAACAAAACCCCGCTTTTCCTCAGAACCAGCCCTGAATCCATCGAGCTTTGAGAATAATCCCACAGTGCCGGCTGGCCTCCTTTTCCTCGTCCTGCGCGGGCCTGGGCTGAGGGCGCTGGGCGGCCGGCTGGGGGCGCGCGGGGAGGGCCCGGGAGCGACTCACTGACGTGTCTGGGGATGACGCCCCGGCTCTGGATCATCAGCGCCTGCTCCCGCGTCTCAGGGATGCTGTCCAGGATCCAGCCCTGGGGAGGATGTGGACAGGTGCTCATCTGTTTCCATTTTTAGATTTTTTGAGTTATTTTAAAAGGAATATAATAGCTTTATAGAAAGACCAGAACTTCTAAGACAAAAGAAAATAAATGTTTCTGATAACCGCATCACGCTTCCATAAAACTACTCTCGTACTGTTACATTCCCTCTGGAATCCTATGTTTCTGATTGCGATCATAACATACGTGGTATCTTCCGTGTCCCGATTTTCCCACCACACACCATAGCGTTGTGTCCTATTGGCACAGCTCTGCACTGCCGCCACTTTCAACGGCGATGCCAGGTTGCGCCCAGAGATTATGCCACAGCTGCTTAACGAGGCCACGCGACTGCATGTCTCCACTGCTAACAACTGCTAACGATTTCCACGGTCATAAATAACACTGTGATGAACATCTTTGTGCGTATAGCTGTTTCTGTATTTTGGATTATTTTCTAAAGAGAATTTCTAAGATAGGGGATTCCTGGGACAAGAAATCACCGGGGTGAAAACAAAACTCCACTTTTCTTTTTTTTTTTGAGACAGAGTCTCACTCTTTTGCCGGGGCTAGACTGAGTGCCGTGGCGTCATCGTAGCTCACAGCAACCTCAAACTCCTGGGCTCAAGCAATCCTTCTG